GTCTCAGCGGCCCAGGTGCTCCGACATCAACTAAGAAACAAAGGGCCGAGGTCTGGCACGATGTCCGGCGTCCAGCGCTGCTGGTCTTCACGGTGCTAAAAAGTTAAAACATTGACACCGCAGGGGACAGGCCCTGGGGAGGGGTGTCATGCACTTCCCGGGAACTTTGCTCAGGACTCTCCAGCCCTGTGCGCTGGTCCCGGGCGCAGCTGATTCGTGGCCCTGCGGACCCGGAGAGCAGGCCTGGGGGGTGGTGGAGCGAGGCCTCATCTGGTGGGTCGGTCTCAGCAGCAGTCATGTCCCCTGGGCCCTAGTGGGTCTCTCGTTCCTGCTTCGCCCTGGTTTCGCTGTCCCTGCATCCTGTCTGTGTCCAGGGCTGCGTTGCCTTGCCCCATGCAGCAGCTCCGCTCTGTGCAGCCCCGCACCGCCCGCGCACCTGCCCCGGTCCTGGGCAGGGCCGAGCCCTTTCCACCTCAGCGGGCAGCAGCCCAGGGCAGCAGGGGACTGAGGTCCTAAAGACATTTTCAGCAGCCTCATGGAGACAGCCCCTAGCACCTGCCACCGCACGGCTCTGACCTCCCTTTCCCAGATACAGCCTCTGGGGTCTGCCCCGCAGCACGGGGGAGATGGGGAGCTTGGGCTGCCTTCCTTGGCCAGGGAGGGAAGGGGGCCTGGAGCCACCCAGGGAGGGAGGAGAGGGGGGGTCCAGGGAGGGGAGAGGGCACAGGTGGTTTCCCTGCCCCAGCTTTCCTCCCTCATGGGCACTCCTGGCCTCCCAGAGAGCACAGAGCCCTTGAAGGACCACCCCGGGGACCGGCACACGAGCGGCGGTCGGGCATCCCAGCTGGTTTCACCAGTCCTGGGTCCGGACCAGCTATAAGCAGCTCACAGCTGAGGGGCTGCAGTCAGGAGCATCCAGACCAGCTCGCCCCCACTGTGCTCCCACCTGCTACGCTGACGCTGGGAAGTGGACTGCTGCAAAAGTCAGGCCAGCGGGGCCCAGGTGGTCGCATCCTGCCCAGCCCTGTCCACACCGTCCCAGTCAAGGGCCTGTCTGACTGCTCTCAGGCACCGCACAAGGTGCCCACAGCCCTGCCCCAGCCCCAGCCCCAGCCCCAGGTCCAGCCCCAGCAGGGCAGCGAGGGCCCAGTCAGCATCCTGCTGCAGCAGGGACAGGACGGAGGTGGTTCACGCTCCAGGGACCCCAGGCAGAGAACCGCGTCCCTGCCAAGGACGTGAAACCCCAGGACCCGGCGGGCTGCCTGAGCCCAGGCGCAGTGATGGGTTGCGAGCACATGCCCGTACCCACTTCCTGCAGCCCATCGTGGCCCTGCCCGGAGCCAGCGCTCAGCGCCTTCCCTGCCGCGAGAGCCGGCGCCACGCTGGTGGGAGCGGGGGTGCTCACGCACCCGGGGCCGTCGGGTCCTGTCACTGCAACACGTGACCCGAGGACCCAGCAACGAGGCGCCTCTGCCCACCCAGTAGCTGCATCTGGGGCCAAGCTCCCCCACATAACGCCCTGCCGCGCACAGCTCGCTGCGTGGCCCAGCACGGCCTGCGACAGCCCCCAACGAGGGACGGGCACCGCAGGCCTGGCTCTGAGCAGCTCCCCCGTGCAGCCAGGGACTGAAGGGCTTTGAGCCAAACCACCCCCTCCTGCACCCGCAGCCCGGGGCCTAGTCACCATCGCTGTCCGTGGCACCCCGCCGGCATGGGCAGGAAGCGTCCGGCTGGAGGGGGCGGCCACAGCCCCAGCGCTCCATGGGACACAGCCCGTGGCAGGGAGGATTAGGCAAAGACCAGGGTTTATTCCTCAAAGTCCCTGTGGTACAAAAGGGGGCGCGGGAGGAGGCACAGTGGGCAGGAGCAGGAGCAGGAGCAGGAGCCGGAGCCGCGCAGCACACCTGGGAGGGCAGGCGCAGGCCGGGCTGCGCGGACGGGGCCAGCAACCCCTAGTAGAGGACGTCCTCGAAGTCGAGCAGCAGGAAGCGGAGCAGGGCGGGGGGCAGCCCCAGGCGCGGCGCGGCCAGCAGCACCCGGCCCTCCAGGTGGGTGCGGAGCGCGTAACGCGCCAGGTGCTGTAGGGAGCGCGGCTGCTGCCCCAGCGTGAACAGCGACTGGTAGAAACCCTGGTGTTTCTGCAAGAAGAGGGCAGGGCGTCAGTGCCAAGGGGCAGCCAGGACCCCAACCCCGGGCAGGGGGCACGGCCCACCCAGCACTTCCCACTGGCACTGGACAAGGAGCTCTGCCAGTGTCCCCTGCCACACTCCCACCCCCGCGGCTATGCCTGCCCGAGGGGCAGCCCCGTCCGCACCTGCAAGGTCTCGGGGGGAACGGCCTTGGCCCACTCGTCGGGGACGCGCACGCGGTCGTAGCTGTTGATCAGGGCCTCGATGACGCGGGGGGCGGCGTGGCAGTACCGCAGCACCTGCGCCGAAGCGGGTTGGGTCAGGGCTGGGCACCGCACAGTGCCACGGCCGCCTGGGTTCAACACCCCGAGTGTGGCACCGGGGCAAGTACCGTGCCCAGCCAGGGTCATGCCACGCAGCATGTGACACAGGCAGGTCCCTGCTGTCCGGGGGTGCGTGCCCAGGCGTGGCAGGATGCCTGGGCCATGGGGCCGGGCGGGAAGAGGTAGACCCCCACCCAGTCCCCCGGCTCTGACTCCCCACCACCCAGGCCACGGGTAGCTGTCAGAGCCAATCGGGCTGCAGAGTGATCCTCATTATCTGGTGTTAATAGGAGATTAATTAGTGTTAATTGTTGATTTTCCTGTATTTTCCCAAAGGGGAGAGCAATCTGCCGATCTCCGGGCTGGGTAATTATTGCTGCTCGGGAATTAAGACAGATGGTTAACCCTTTGAGTGCTGCTGCCCTGCGCCATGGAGGCAGCCAGCACTGGAGGGGAGCCTGGGGAGCCCTGACCCCATGCCCGTGTTCACATTGCCCCGGTGCTCCCACAGCTCCTGCCACGCACCCTCCTTGGGGGCTGGCAGCAGCCCCTGCTTCTGCCATGCCGCCCCTTCCCACCCGTCCCCCTCTCCCGGAGGCTTGTCTACACCAGGGCAGGGGTAGGCCCAGCGTGGTGGGGGATGGGTGGAGGACCAGAGCTCTGCCTGGGAAAAAGGCATCTTAGCCCACAGCAGGATGGTGGGGCCCCCAATGACCAGGGGAGCTCACGAGTGCCTCCTGGCCACACTGTCAAGCCACACACATGCACGCATAGACCTGCCCATACATGCACACACAGGCTTGTGCATGCAGACACACACACATATGCACAGGCCACGAGGGCTTCACACCTTGGTGAGGGAGCCGGGCCAGACGCGCACGGCCCCGTGGTTGAGCAGGGCGCGCACCATGCGCTCAGGCTGGTGGAGCAGCTTGTAGGCAGCCACCTGCAGCACGTTGTGCATGGCTGTGTTGCCGCTGTAGTTCATGATGTTGACGCTGGCGCCGTGGCCCAGCAGCAGCTCCACCACACGCGCATTAGCCACCTTGCAGGCCAGGTGCAGCGGGCGCTGCAGGTCGCGGTCGGGCACGTCCACGCGGGCCCCGTGCTCCACCAGCTGCTGGCACACCTCAAAGTAGCGCTCGATGTCCTCGGGCTCATGGGGCTGAGAGCAGGCGGCGTGCAGCGGCGTCTGGCCCTCCTCGTTCTCAGCGTCCACGGCGGCCCCATACCGCAGCAGCAGACCCACGTGCTCGGGCAGGCCGTGCCGGGCGGCCACGTGCAGAGGCGAGTCCTCCTCGTCCTCCGTGGCCACGTTCACGCTGGCACTGCTCTGCAGCAGCAGCCGGGCACACCTGAGCGGGGGCAGCGCTCAGCCACGAGCCCCAGGCCCTGGCACCCCCTTCCCCCCCCACCCCAGAGCCTGGCCTCGGCACCCTTTGCCCCTTTCTGCCACCCCAGAGCCTGGCTGGAGCTGCCCCCATGTCCCGGCTGGGGGCACAGGATGAGCCCTGTCCATCTGGAGGGGCGCTGGGCCCTAGCAGCTCCAGCACTGCCTCCCGGCTCCGCCGTCCTTCTGCCCCTCGTGCCCGCCGGGACTCACTCGAGGGAGCCAGGGCTCTTGCAGAGGTGCAGCGGCTGGAAGCCATCCTCGGACACGGCCTGGGGGTCGGCGCCGAAGCTCAGGAGCAGGCGCACGCAGCTGGTGTGGGCGGCCGCGCAGGCCTCGTGCAGCGCTGTCTTTCCGCTGGGCGCGAAGTCCACAGCCGCGCCCCGCAGCAGCAGGAAGCGCAGGCAGTCGGCGTACCCGCGTCCCGCTGTGATGTGCAGCGGCGTAGTCAGCTCCTGCTCGTAGGTCAGCGACCACAGCCCTGCGGGGCAGCGGGGGGTCAGCGGGGCAGCACCGGGCACCAGACCCCTGGAAAGGCCCGGATGTCCTCACTCTGCCCTGGTCCATACAACACCCAGAGGCCTGGGAGTTTGTGCTGGACAGCAGGAAAGGAGGTCTCCGAGGAGTCCCGAGCGCTGTCTGCAGCTCCAGCCCAGGCAGGGCAGGCAAGACTGGGGTGAGGGCATGGGCAGGGGACAGGGCAGGAAGGTGGCAGCAGGGCTGGTCAGGGTAGGAAGGGATGCAACAGGCAGGACCCGAGAGCTCTGGAGGCAGAGACACCCCTGTCCCCTCCAGACAGCAACAGCAGCTCTCCGCACCCCAGTCAAGACCCCGACCCCACCAACATCAGCCTCAACCCCCCACCGCGGGACCGGTGACACCCCTGAACCAGAGTGTGCACCCCACACCCAGCCTCAGACCCCATGGCCAGAAGGATCCACACCTGGGCAATACCCCCACGGGCAGGGGCCACCCACCACCCAGTGCAGCCCCCCAGCACCCAGCCTCTACCCCCAGGGCCTGGCACGCGGTGCAACCGGGCCGTGCCAGCTGGCAACCCAGCCCACCCTGCCCAGTGCCAGCAGAGGGGCCGTACGGAGGCAGCGGAAGTTGAAGCGGTAATTCTTCCACTCCTCCAGGTCGCTGGTGTCGAAGACGGCGTTGGGGCTGAGCGCAGCCCGTGGGTCACCGAGCAGCTGGGACAGGGCGCCCACATCCCCCTCCACCAGCGCCTGCCAGTACGCCCAGGCAGAGCCCTCCGCCTTCTTGGTCACGATGGGGTCTGGATACCACTGGGCCGGCCGCCGGCCGCCGGCCTGTGCGCAGCTGCCCATGGCACCGGGGCAGGGGAGCGCGGCACCCTCAGGACTGCTGCCGACACCGGGTGCTGGGGGGTGAGGGCTCAGGGGCTGGTCCAACTCGCCCCTGGGCTGGACACTGCAGCTCTGGCCGCGGGTGGGAAGGCATGGGGGTGTCAGGTCTCTGCTTGCCCACAAGTGTCGGGTCACAGCCTGCGCTATTCTGGGGAGCCGCGTGACTCGGGAGCTCGGCCCAAAACGCAGATAAAAGGACGCAGCTCTGGCCAGCAGCACCCGGCCCTGCACAACTGTTAGAGGGGACGTGATGGGGGGCAGGGAGAGGCAGGGCTGGGTGTGCCCCGGGGAAGTGGGGCTGGCAGGGATTGCAGGGGACACATCTCACCCAAACCCTGCACGAGGCAGGATCAGCCCCGTCCAACCCCCAACCCCCTTGACAAACCCTGTGTGCGACCTTGGAGCCACATCAGTCACCCTGACACAGCCCCAGGTATCGCCCCTGCCCCCGGGATACAGGGGGGCCACGGCCAATGCCCCGCTGCTGCCAGGGGGGTCGTGGGCGCTGCAGAGAGCCCAGGCCTAGGCTGTGCCCCTGCTGCAGAGGAAGGCAAAATCCCCCAGTGCAGACCAGTCTGAGCGGGGGGGGGAATCCCTTCCTGCCCCAGTGTAGCATGGGGCTGAGGCTGAGCGCAGGGGCAAGACCCTCCAGCCAGGACCCTGCGGGGTTGGTGCTAGCAGGAGCATTGGCACAGCCCAGCCCCATCTCCAGCCTGGGCTGCAGCACCCAGTGCCTCTGGGGGAGGCAGTACCCCCCCCACACACATGCAAGCAGCAGGTAGGGGAAAAAGCTTTCCTCCCACCCCCCATAGCAGCCAGCAAAACCCAGAAGCCCAGTAAACACCCGCTGCACCCAAACCAGGGAGGGGCTGGGACTATCACACGTGGTCTGTGGCCAGCCCAGCTGCCAGCCACCTCCTGGTTCACCTGTCAGCCTCCATATCTCGGAGGGCATTGCCGCCCAGCACTGCCTGCGACAGATGCTGCTGTGACCACAGGGCACCCTGTCCCCATGGCTGGGGCAGAGCGCTCCCCTACTCTGGGGCAGCAGGCCCAACCTGGCATCCAGATGCACCCAGGAGAGTAAAGCCTGCAAAGGGACAGGAGCTGTGGGCAAGGACACATCCACCTCACCCTCAGCACTCAGGCCCCAAATGCCCCTCCCCACCACACGCATGTGCCTGGCTGCCCTGGTGCCTCCACGCCAGAGAGGGGCAGGCAGCAAGGGTGGGTGAGGCGGGAGGAGACAGCCCAAGGGGCACCTGTCCTTCAACCAGGACCTGCCTGTGAAGCTGCCGTGGCCAACCCTGCTGCTAGGACCTTGCCTCCCTGGACCCACCCTGTCTGCCAGCCAGCAACAGATCCCTGCACCACCAAGCCCCGTACCTGCCCTGCCCTCCTTGGCACCAGGGCCATGGCAGCTGCAGCACCGCAAAACACCAGGCACAAAGGCGAACACCGGCTGGGACAAATGTGGTGCCAAGTTCGAGGGCCCAGCCAAAGCCTGACTTGGGCATCTGAGACCATCTCACCCTCGGGGCAGACCCAAGCAGCACCTGGCACTTCTGCAGCCTTCATAGGGCTAGGTGTGCAGGCGGTGCATGTGCTTCCCCTGCACATGCATGCATATCCATGCATGCACAGCAAAACAAGCACAGGCTGCAACAGCCCCTGCACACACATTTTCTTCAGGGGCCTTGAGCCATAGGCTTGGCAGGGAGCTCCAGACATCACATCGAGTCCTGAGGCAGGACCAGCCCTATCCAAACTAGCCAACAATAATCTGAACTCAGCATCAGATACCCTTAACCCTGACCCAACACAGGCCCAATACCCAACCCCACCACAGGTGAAGCAGGGGGATCACGGGGGGACCGTGGCAGTCAACATCCTGCTTCTATGAAATGCTGTTAATATATACTCAAGAGGTGCCGGGTAGAGGACCATGGCCGTACTCTGCTTGTGGAAGTGGCTGGGAACCTAATGTGATTTAGGACAGGCCGCGGCTGCCCAGAGCCTGGGGTGGGGCAGGGGATGAGCATGGCACCACCACCGGGATCCCCTGCAGCCCCCACAGCCCAGCACCACCTCCCCCCACACCCTTGGGCTCCTTCCCCCCAATTTCAGACCACCCCTGTGCCCTGCCCCCCTCACCCAGCTTGCGGCTGGTCCAGCGCAGCTCATCACCCTTGGCCTCAATGACGAGGTTGACGGCAGCGCTCTCAGTGAAGTGCTGCCGCACCATCTCCAAGTCGCCTGCAAAAAGCGCGTTCTGCACCAGAAAGTCGTGGCAGGCAAGGGGCTCCATGCGGCGGTGTGGGGACCCCCAGACCCTGGGGCACAGTGCGCTGGGACCGGGGCGGCAAGATGGGCCCACGCGCTGGGCGAGCTTCCAGCGGTGCAGCCGTTCCTCGTCCAGCCGCAGTGAGCGCAGCGCGGCCGAGGTGAATGCGAAGGTGAAGGTGCTACTGGTCATGGCAAGCAACAGGACGAGCCCCTGATTTATAGGGCAGCCTGCGAGCGTCTGGCAGGGCCCCGTGCCTTTGGCTGGGTGCTCCCCAGCTCTAGCAGCTCGGGGTGGGCTGAGCCCTTCAGTCCAGCCTGACTCACCCGTTATAAATAGCAGCTTGGCAGCCCAGCCCTGCACTGTTTGTTTGTCCTCCACAACTGGAGCAGGCTTCCTGTGTCCCTTTGGCCAGGGAAGGCAGGTGGGGGCAGGGACCCCCTGTGCAGCCTCCCCTGCACTGGGGCACAGGCGCTCCGCTCTCTCTGCTGCGGCCTGGGCAGGGGGGCAGAGGCAGTTTGGGACCACGGGGCTGCCAGTGTCTGCACCATGCCTCCAGTGGGCTCCAAGGGGCTGTGTCCATGCAGGGAGTGCCCGCAACCCCTGCCCAGGCTGGGCACCACACGGTCACTTGGCAAGGTGGGGGGTGCCCAGGCCTGGGTGCCAGCCCCTCTCATGCTCCAGGTGCTGAGCTAGAGGTGCAAGGAGCCAGCGCCTGCCCTGCAACAGCCCCAAAGCTCCCTCTGTGCCAGGCATTGTTCTCCAGCTGCAACAGCCAGGCTATGAGCCCCCTTCCACCCTGAGACCTGACGGGCACCGCAAGGGCCCCCAGGCCACCTGTGTGCTCCCAACCAGCGTGCACAGCAAGGCCAGGTGTCACCGCTCTGGTTCCCTCCAGCTGCAACTGAAAACACGTGGACATGTGCACCCACCCCTCTGTGACCCCACCCCCCCCAGCTGCACACACTTCTGTGACACATGGGTCTACGCCTCGGCACACCCTGGACAAGCACACGCACCTATACACATGCCACCCTCCTCCTCAGACAGGCAGGTGTGCTGCACTCGGGCCAAACCCATGCACAAAGCCCTTTCCAGACTCACCTGCACATGTACGTGTCCCCCAAGCATGTGCCCACACACATGCACACACGCACTCCCTGCACATGGACCCACAGGTACACACACCTGCACCAAGCCCCTCACAAGGCTCAGGGGGAAGGGCTGAGGGCAAGTTGGCTTTATGAGGCTGCCCCAGCCAGGGGTGCTGCCAGCTCCCCGCTTCCAGCCGGCTTTACTTCCTCCCCTTCTTCTTCGCTTGCATCTCCTTCCCTTCCACCTGCTCTTCCATGGCCTTGAGCCACCTCTTACCCAGGGGCGTCTTCAGGTACCAGTCCTGAGAGGGGGACAGCAGGTAAGCGGTGGGGTCAGTGCTCCCAGGGGAGGCAGCAGGGAGCCGGGCCCAATGTGCACGCAGCCCCGCTGCTTGGTTCAGGCTGCACCGCTGTGTTCGGCAACATGGCCCACCTCACCCCAGGCAGCTGCCCAGCCAGACAAAGCACAGCAGAACTGGCTCTGGAGGCCTGAGTGCACCCAGCCCATCCCCAGGGCGGTGGTCGCAGTGGGGGGCAGTGGGGAGGGAAGGGGCCGGCACCTGGAGCAACTTCTCCTCTTCGGAGTAGATGGGGTCAGCCTTGGGCAGCAACTGCAGGAACTCCTCGGCACGCAGCGGCCTCCTGGGCAGCTGCAGGATGCGCCGCTCGGTCAGCACCGTCCGCACCACCTGCGCCACGGACCCCTGGCTGTAGCCATCTGAGACCGTGGCCAGGGCGCTGAGGTCCAGGCCATGGCCCACGGTGCCACTGTGCTTCTGAATCAGGCGCTGCCAGGTCACTGCGGGGAGAGGGGTGGTCACAGGGGACGCAGCGGGGCAGGATGGGGGGCAGCTGGCCTGGCTGCACAAGCAAGGGGATGGATGCACTGCACCCAGCTGCTGTGCAAGGGTGCGGGGGGGGCACCAGCACAAGCCCAGGCAGCCGTGAGGCTCGGGGCCCAGCACTCCCACCTCTGCTGCGCTGCATGGGGCCCGTGCCCTGGTGCTGCCTCTGGCTGCACGACCGGGGCTGGGCGGTGATGCCCCGAGCCCCAGCGGCCACTGGTAAGGGAGAAAGGGGGGCCTGGGGCTGGGTCCTCGCTCACCATAGCGGGAGGCGTAGTCGGGTCGGGGCACGAGGAGGACCCGTTCGTAGGCCTTGCACAGGGCCTTGGCATCGGCCGCGTAGGGCCGGTCGGACGTGCCCAGCAGCAGCACCCGGTCGTCCACCCGCAGCGTCTTCAGAGCCTTGGGCAGCTCCTTCCTCAGGCGCTTCGGCTCCGCCTGCGGGCGCAAGGGACTGGAGCTGGGGGTGGGGGCACCTGGGCAGGGCTCTGGGGGTGTCAGCGGGTTTCTGCTCCTTCAGGACTTCCCAGCTCTTAAACAGAGCAAGATGCAGCCCAGAAAGCCCGGCTGGGTGGGGGGCAGACGGCGCAGGGGCAGGCGCACAGCCGACAGCGGTGCCACGGGGGACTGCCTGCCCCTGTGCCACAGCCCAGCGCATCTTCCACCACCTGCCCCCCAGCCAGCCCTGCGGCCCCATCTACCCAGGGGGCTTGTTCCCCACCTGCTCCGAGGACATCCCCCCACCCTGCCCCACAGCCCCATGCCAGGTGCCCCCCACGGCCTCACCTCCTTCTCCTCTTTCGGGACCTTCTTGTAAAACGTCTTCTCCGCGTTGCCGACCCAGATCACCGACGGCTGCAGGAGCCTCGCCACCTGCAAGGGGCCGGGGGCAGGCGCTGAGC